TGCGCCCCGCGCCGGGGAAGACCCTGCTGGGGGCTCTGTGTGGAGGAGGGTGACGGTCCCAAGGGGTTGGGGTGACTGGGTGCCACTCTTTCTAGAGCAAAACCCCTGCAAGCATGGTGGCTTCGGGCTTCGTTTGCAGAGGGAAGGGCAGCAGGATGGAGGGGGCGGAAGGAGCCCCACCGCGGGTGCGTTTCTGGGCCCGCGCCCCACGGAAGATGCTGAGTGTCCACCTCGTGTCCGGAGCGCAGGAGGGGCCTGGACAGCTGGGCCAGAATGACAGGCTCATCAATGTTGCCTCTCCCTCCTGCCTCCTCTGGCCTGGTTTCCATGAACGCGGTGTCTGGGGGCCAGTGTGGAGCTGTGGAAGGAGGCGGATGGATGGATGCCCCAGGGATGCCAAGTGGGCAACAGGAACCAGAACTAATAAAAACTCTTACATGGTGTTGGTGGTCATGGTCCTGCTCTGGGTACAAGGACATGGATGCTGGTGTGGGGTGATCGTCAGCTGGTAGTGTGCTGGTGGGCGGGGGCGGGGGGGTAGGTGGGTGTTAACTCCCCACAACCCACACCCCACACCCCAGGGTGGACCTCCCCAGGGTTAGGTAGGTGGTAGTCAAGGACAGGGACTTGAGACGTCATAGGGTTGCCCAACTAAGCCTACGGGGGAACTGGGCGCATTTCAGACGTCTTGGCTCATGTCACGTTCCCCACCCCACCAGCTTAAGTCTGGGGACAGGGCCGAAGCGCTGGGCTCCCGTCGCCTGGGCCCTTCCTCATCAGAAGAGGCACAGCTAGGGCCAGACCCTCTTCTCTGGTTTCCCACTGGAGAGAATTCCAGAACCTGAGAGCACAATCCTGAGAGTGATCTCACTCAGGCCCAGGATTCTGGAACTTGGGCTGCCTGATGGACCCTACATGAAAGATGTAGTAGGGAAAAGGAGCGACAGCTGGCTGAAGGGGCCCCCCACAACCCTCCCCGACACCCTCGGAGAACAGCCTCCCTCGGCTGGCCCCAGGGTGCCATGGAGATGGAGAACAAGGCGGCCTCCACACGTTTCCACCAACCTCACATGGAGAGGAAGATGAGTGCGATGACCTGTGAGATCTTCAACGAGCTTAGGCTGGAGGGCAAGCTCTGCGACGTGGTCATCAAGGTCAATGGCTTTGAGTTCAATGCCCACAAGAACATCCTCTGTAGCTGCAGTTCCTACTTTAGGTACAGCAGGGCTGCCGGGCTCAGCCTGAGGGGGGATTGGGTGCATTTCAGACGTGGTCCATTACATGGTTCCCACCCCACCGTCTTATAGGGACACCGTCCACGCACGGGGCTCCGGGAGCCTGGCTCCTCTGTCATCTGAAGAGGCACAACTAGGGCCAGATTCCCTTCCCCCCGATTTTCCATTGGATTTCAACCAGCTCTTGGTGGGCCCGCTGCTTTTTCCCCTTGATTCTCACTCTAACCAACCTTTGGGAAAGTTGAGCATCCATACGGGGTTTCCTACTTGAACCTAGATAATAATGCCACTTCAGCCACCCCTATCCCCTTGTCCCCCTGTCCCCCTATCCCGTAGAGACGAGCTTGAACAGGGTGCTAAGTTATCAAGGATTGAGGGGGTGGGAAGGGGGATGGATGCAGGGGAAGAACCACATAAATATTTATCAGGAGAAAAAAGGGGTGTGTGTGTGGTTTGTGTCCAAACCATTGTAACCCAGGAAATGGAAGGGCTATTTTGTTCATGAGCTGAAAATGTTTGAGTCATCAATTCCAATCAAGATATGATAAATGTGTCCCACCTGTTGCTAAAAATTCTTGTGGTGATCTACAGCAGGGTCTATAAAAAGACCAGCTAGCACATACTTTAAGCTTCGCAGGCCATATAGTCTCTGTCACATGCAACTACTCCACTCTGCCTCTATAGTGGGAAAGCAGCCATAGACGATATTAAATGGACACTGAAATTTGAATTTCATTTTTACCCCATTTAAAAATGTAAACGACATCCTTACCTCGTGGGCAGTACAAAAAAGAAGGCGTGGGTGGAATTTGGCTCGGAGGCTGTATTACAGACCCCCCGCTCTAGAGAAGAATTTTATCTTTAAGCCCATAGTCCCTGAGACCGCCTAGAAAAAGGAAGCACAATATATTACGGACGGGAATTCTGTCTTGTTCAGTACCTAGCTACAGAGTGGAATAGCAGTCACTTATTTATCCAATAATTATTTAGTGCCTGTTTTGCGACCAGCGCTAGAGTGGGTATTGGAAATAAAACAATGAGTAAAGAGGTAAACATTCCTGTTCTCATGAAGCTTACCTTCTGGTAGGGGGAAGAGGCATTAAATAAATAAACTACATATCAGATTGTAAGTGCTAAGGGAAAAAAAGGTAGGTAGCGTGGATGGCAATTTTCAATAGGGTTATCACTTTGCTGACAAAGTTACATTACAGCAAAGACTGCAAGGGGATGAAGGAGTGAGTGAGCGAGAGATCTGGGCAGAATTCCAGGAAGAAGGAACAGCAGGTAGAGCCCAAAGGTGGAAGCATCTCTGATGTAGTCAAGGAAGGCAAAGCCAACAGGGCTGAAACAGAGGGGGAAGGCGGGAGGAAATACCGTCAGAGAGCTGTGACTGGCCCAGACCTCACAGGACTTCGGTAGATAATAATGCCGCTTCAGCCACCCCCAAAGGACTTTATATTTTACTCTAAGAAGGGAAGTCAATGGAAGGTTTTAAGAGGAACACTGGTGGTTAGATAAGACTGAATTCTGGAGGTGTCAAGAGCCTATCAGTTAGGCGGTCACTCCCAATCTAGGCAAGAGACTGCGGTGGTTTGGACCAAGGAGGTAGCAATAGAATTGATTAGATTATGGCTATGTGTTGAAGATTACTTGCATTTGGTGGGCAATGGGTTGAGACAGAAGAGACCTGGGTCTTACACCTAGCTCTAGATTCCAATTTTTCCATCCACAAAATGGGAAAAGGATATCGTTATCATGAGGATAAGAGTGACCAAAATCAAAGCTCTTGGGAAGGTTCTCTCGCCCGCTGTATAAGGCAGCCCGCCCTGCCCCTCTCCTTCCTCCCGCCCACTTATTTTCAATGCACTCTTTGGAAGGTGTCCAAACTCTCAACAACACAAAGTGGGGAGAGCATGGCACACTGGAGAGAAAGGTTTCAGTGATGGCTCGTTCCTCCCCTTTTTCCAGAGCTTTGTTTACAAGTGGCTGGAACAACACTGAAAAGAAGGTATACAACATTCCTGGCATCTCCCCCGACATGATGAAACTAATTATTGAATATGCGTATACCAGGACCGTCCCTATCACACCTGACAACGTGGAGAAGCTGCTGGCTGCTGCGGACCAATTTAACATCATGGGCATCGTGAGGGGTTGCTGTGAGTTCCTCAAGTCGGAGCTGTGTCTGGATAACTGTATCGGCATCTGCAAGTTCACAGACTACTACTACTGCCCGGAACTCAGGCAGAAGGCCTACATGTTCATACTGCACAACTTCGAGGAGATGGTGAAAGTCTCGGCCGAGTTTTTGGAGCTCTCAGTCACTGAACTGAAGGATATCATTGAGAAAGATGAGCTAAACGTCAAACAAGAAGACGCTGTATTTGAGGCCATTTTAAAATGGATTGCTCATGACTCCCAAAATAGGAAGCAGCATATTTCAGTTTTGCTCCCCAAGGTCAAGTTTAATTATTTTTTTATAGGCTGCTTAATTGGCCGCTTTTGATTCATTTATCCCAGTCGGGTTGTCCTAAGAGCTATATTCAGATGTGTGACAGATTCCAGGGCTGTATTTACATATATTTGTAGAGAAGGCATCTCCTACTAGTTTCTGGAATCTTGCAATTTTCTTTACCCTTGGCATGGCTAGTTCCTTTTATCCCAGTTATATTCTTTTTTTTTTTTTAAATATATTTTATTGATTTTTTACAGAGAGAAAGGGAGAGATAGAGTTAGAAACATTGATGAGAGAGAAACATCGATCAGCTGCCTCCTGCACACCTCCTACTGGAGATGTGCCCACAACCCACGTACATGCCCTTGATTGGAATCGAACCTGGAACCTTTCAGTCCGCAGGCCAACACTCTATCCACTGAGCCAAACCGGTTTCGGCCCCAGTTATATCCTTTTATTTTATTTATTTTTCTTTTTTAGAGAGAGGAAGGGAGAGAAACATCAATGTGAGTTGGTTGCCTCCTGCTCACACAACGACCGGGGATAGGATCTGCAACCTGGGTGTATGCCCTGACAGGGAATCGAACCAGCCACTGTTTGGTGTACGGGACGATGCTCCAACCAACAGAGCTACACCAGCCAGGGCATTTTGCCACCCCTCCACCCCCCAGTTTTAGTCTTTGACCAAAATTCTCCCTGGCTGTGGGGGAAGGAGAAGGCAAGGCCTTCAAAAGAATTCTAGAGTCTTCTTTTTACCTTTGTCCATTCTGAGTTTCCCCAAACCCAAGAGAGAAACTGGAGTTGTAGCCATTTGATGTTAATTTGTGTTATTTTACATACAGAGACAGATATTCATTCACAGAAAAATTACTTCAATGTTGTTGTTTTTTTGTCTAGTAGCATAGTCTGGTGGTCAAGGAATGAGCTAGCTTGCTCATCATTTTCTAGCTCATTCTCAGGATCCAAATGTATACCACCTCTTAAAAACAGGTATTTAAAGTGTTTAAGTTGTAAATTTCACAAAACAAAATATGGCCCCACTGCAATTCAAAGGCAGGCTGTAAGCCAAGGGGCTAAGGGGTTTTTCAGGCCTCCTCACCTCACTTTAAATGACTTGCTGCATTTCCTCCTTAGGTTCGCCTGGCCCTAATGCATGCCGAGTACTTCATGAACAATGTTAAGATGAATGACTATGTCAAAGACAGTGAGGAATGCAAGCCAGTCATCATTAATGCCCTAAAGGCCATGTATGACCTAAACATGAATGGACCCTCTAATTCTGACTTCACCAACCCACTCACCAGGCCCCGCCTCCCCTATGCCATCCTATTTGCAATTGGTGGCTGGAGTGGTGGGAGCCCCACCAATGCCATTGAGGCATATGATGCTCGGGCAGACAGATGGGTGAATGTCACTTGTGAAGAAGAAAGTCCCCGTGCCTACCACGGGGCAGCCTATTTGAAAGGCTACGTCTATATCATTGGGGGGTTCGACAGTGTCGACTATTTCAATAGTGTTAAACGTTTTGACCCAGTCAAGAAAACTTGGCACCAGGTAGCGCCGATGCACTCCAGACGTTGCTATGTCAGCGTGACAGTGCTCAGCAATTTCATCTATGCCATGGGAGGATTTGATGGCTACGTGCGTCTCAACACTGCTGAACGCTACGAGCCAGAGACCAATCAATGGACACTCATTGCCCCCATGCATGAACAGAGGAGTGACGCGAGTGCCACAACACTCTACGGAAAGGTAAAAAACTGGGGGTGGGAGGGAGGAAGGCCGGGATGTGAAAGCAACCAAGCCCAGGAATAATGCTCTTCCTTTTGGGGGGTGGATGGAAAACAGAAATGGCAGTATCTTGGCAGCTCAAACTCCATCAAATGACTAAGTGACCCTTTGTAACTATCTTTTTTTACTTATTCTGACCCATGAGTCTCTTCCCCTGGCTGAGTTTTTATTTGTATCCTCTCACTGTAATAAAGTCTGAGAGTATAACCACAAAAAAAGTAAAAATAAGTAAAAAGCAAGAGATGTACATGTGGGAAAGGAAACTCAGAGTGCCCCGGCTAGTGGCTCGGCTGGCTGGAGCATTGTCCCGATGGGCCAGGGTTCTGGGCTTGATCCCTGGTCGTGGCACATACAAGGGTCAACCAACAAGTGCATGAATGGGTGGAGCAGCGGGTTGATGCTTCTCTCCCTCCCTCCATCCTCTCGCTCTAAAATCAACTTAAAAAAGAAACTCAGAGTACACAGACTGGTATAAAAGTGCCCCCCACATGCCATATACAAACCTCTTCATACTCCAGAGGTAGCTATTTTAATAATCTTGAACTGTCTTCACACAGGTCTACATATGTGGTGGGTTCAATGGAAATGAATGCCTGTTTACAGCAGAAGTGTACAACACTGAGAGTAATCAGTGGACAGTCATAGCACCCATGAGAAGCAGGAGGAGTGGAATAGGCGTAATTGCTTATGGAGAACACGTATACGCGGTGAGTTTATCGTGTACCACAACAAAAATGATTCCCTTCCATTTTCTATTATACAACCACTGGTAAGCTTTTGAAAAGGTTTTGTTCCATGGAAGACAGTGGAAGAGGGAGGTATGAAATCACTAGTCCTCCCCTTAGAGGGCCTTCTGGGTGAACAGAATCAGTGGCTAACAGTAAATCGTGTCCCTGTTGCTGTCCACAGGTAGGCGGCTTTGATGGAGCTAATCGACTTAGGAGTGCAGAAGCCTACAGCCCAGTGGCTAACACTTGGCGCACGATCCCCACTATGTTTAATCCTCGTAGCAATTTCGGCATCGAGGTGGTAGACGACCTCTTGTTTGTGGTGGGTGGCTTTAATGGCTTTACCACCACCTTTAATGTTGAGTGCTATGATGAAAAGACCGACGAGTGGTATGATGCCCATGACATGAGTATATATCGCAGTGCTCTGAGCTGCTGTGTGGTACCAGGGCTGGCCAATGTTGGGGAATATGCAGCTAGAAGGGACAACTTCACAGGATTAGCACTGCGAGATGAAGTAAAGTACTCCGCTTCAACAAGTACCTTACCTGTATGAGCCTCTTCATTTAGCTAATAAAAAGTCTAAGCAATAAGAATTAATTCTTTTTTAAAATAAATGCAGTGTTTAAACTTGTAAGAGTACTGGAAAATGTTCAACATAAGGGAGCCAAGGGTTGGACGAATGAGGGAGTAAAAGGGTTCAAGGAAGAGGGCAATTATCTTCAACAGTACATACTTAAAAGGAAAAACTACACAATGCAAACCAGCTCTAATGAAATACGTTTATTTAAAGCTTATATCGAGACCATTAGTAGCTTTAACACAGGACAAGATAACTTCAGGAACATAAAACAAGCTATTATACAATGTAATGTCTCCAAGTGTCTTACGTTCCGCATCTCCTCTGACTTAAGGAGACAGTCAAAAGCATACGTTCAGTTGTGTAGGGGCTTGGACACTACTGGCCCCAAAACTCACTGTACATCACTTGAACTAAGTACTGATGTCACAAATAACTCAATGAGCCCTAAGCACGGGGACCCTAAGGTCTTCAAACACCCAGCAAGCACTACTTCTCATGAGTGCGTACGGCAGGAGGAGTAAGTGCTCTACTGTATGTGCTTCACTGCTGCAGAAATGGTCGTACAGAGCAGACACAAGCCCCACAAAGGTAAGCAACAAATAGCAGTTATTTGGCTATCTAAATTCTTTGAAGCAAAATGACTACTATATTATGTTATTGTATTACATCACTCAACTAGGAGTTCTTTTTGTTTCCAATGACCAGAACATTAACAAAAACAAAATAGACTACTCTCAAGAGATTAACAAACTGGAGTGATGAACTGTGCCAAAATGTTTGACAGTTAAAAAGGAGACTGAATTATTTCTCAAATATTCTACAGTTAAGAGCAACCTACAGGCACCCCAGTTTTCTAGTGTAGGCAGATGAACATGCTTCACAATTCTCTATGTTTTCAAAAGACATGAAATGTGACCAATACACCCTTTTTATTTAAGCTTAATTTGAGGGAAGTACACAAAAAAACCCCTTTGGTTATGCCTGTTAGGCCAAGTAACTAAAATACACAATTTAGCTTACCTGTCTACCAATATATAGTATTCATATTAGAATTATGAAGCAGAGAATATTTAAATACACCACATGCTACACTAGTCAAGAAACATGAAGAAAAAACATGTGCATTAGAAACTGCCTTAGCAGCAGCGTGAAGAATTTAAAATACAAAGCACACAAATCTTCCGTAAACACTGTCTTTCCAGTTCCAAGAGTCTGTTCTATATTTAAAAAGTTAGTATTTAAAATTTTTTGGTCCCAGAAATGCTACACAAAACCAGCTGATCAAAACAAAACTGACGTCAATGAATGTTTAGATTTTTTTAGCACAATATTTTTGAATTGGCACAGCAAAAGCCAAGATACCAAGATACATAAGACTAATCATGCAAATAACTGCAAGTGAGATACTGAAACACTAAGCTCGTGACTGACATTTTTAATATATACCACTGGGTTTTTTAACCATGGTAGGGTAGGTATAGTTAAGATATCCATTCTGAGACAGAAGTAGATTCACTCCAAGTTATGTATCGTTGTTACTTTTTGTATAATCAATTCATCTTTTACATCCACAAAATACCAAAAGCAACAAAACAAGATTTGCTTAAATACACATTAATTGCCTTTTTAAAGCTGTATTTTTATCTGTTTAAATTACCAAACACAATCTTTTAAGTTTTCATCAAAAAGGACATTTCCCCGCCCCCCAAAGGCATTTTAGGTTCTTTGTACTCAGAACCTTTCCAAAAACGCTGGGAAGTTATTTCCAGTTTGGAATTTCAGAATGTCAACCTGGAACAGATTTAAGCAAATCCGGTTTCTTTCCTGATTAACAAGTCAGTTAGGCTATTTCAGAAACACAAGTTATTGATGTAAAATCACACATGTGAATTCAAATACGAAAATTAGCAATTCAGTAGTCAGGAAAACCTGCACACATCATCATGCAAGAAAGGACTTACCCCTTCTTTCCACCCGTGGCCTAGGCTGCCTGCTAAGTTAAAAAACAACAATTTCAATCAAGTTTTCAAAACCAGATTATACCTAGATCTTTGAGTTATAGGGTCTGCCATATCATGTGAAAAAGAGACACCTTCCAAATAAATTGGTGACACTCAGAAAAGTCTGAGACAAAAACCCCACAAAACCCGCTGGCCCCCAATCCTGCATCACACCCTTCCAGAGAGAAGCTGGCATCACAGCCAGGAGAAGGAAGCCTAGCACAGTCTATCAGAGAAATGGGAACTTCGTGCATTGAGCTTTTCTGCCTTACTTGCATAGATCTCTCACAACTAGGTATCAGCATTTCTCAGAATCCAATGGCTTTTATTAAACTAACCACAAATACATAGAAATTGAGAAAATGGCTGGGGTGGGATAATATATCCTCCTAGAGAAATATGACTTGCAGTTCCGATCCCCACCCCTGTCTAAATGAAATGGTTTGAAAGCAGATTTCTAACACATTTATTGAAAAACCATCGTAGATAGTGATATCAATTTAGAAATTTCAGGAAAATTCTTAGTAGAGTCCAAGGGCTAAACATTAGTAGTCTTGCAGCTGAAAGCTAAAATTTCTGGTTGTACTTTGCAGATTTCCAACACATTTATTGAAAAACCATCGTAGGTAGTGATATCAATTTAGAAATTTCAGGAAAATTCTTAGTAGAGTCCAAGGGCTAAACATTAGTAGCCTTGCAGCTGAAAGCTAAAATTTCTGGTTGTACTTTTTTTAGTGTTTGATACAGCTAATAAGGAGGTTAACTATAATGCAGTAGGGAAAAAAAAAATCAATGCACTTAGAATTCTACTTCTAGGACAGTGTTTGGGAATGCCTACGATAATAGAAAACAAGAAAAATATACTGGACCCACATTGCAAACAAAAAGAGTAGGAGTTACTGAGTGCTAAAATAGTCAAACCAAGTGCTAAATTGTATAAAGCTTTTGAATGTGTTAAGAGAATCAGAAGAATGAATAAAAATAAATTAAAAATAACTACAGTGGTAAATTTTGAAGGGCCAGAATTATGCCCTTAAATTTGGTATTCCAGGCTCAGGCAAAGTTCCAATTAAAGTTCATGGCAACTGGGGAGCATTTTAGGTCCTGCTCCCAGCATATGTGGTCAGTTTGGCTCAAATAAAGTCTTCTTAAAAAAAAAGTCCAGGGCAACTGGATATGACATTATAACAATGGGGGCTGAGAAATAAGGCTTGTTTTTAGCAACATTTCTCTAAATTGTTATTCCCTTTCCATTTCAAAAAAACATTTTAGAAAGGAATGAAGATCCTATGAAATATGCATTAGAGCAAAATTTAAAATTGAAGGCATTGAGTGTCGATTGTCATAAGCATTATTTACACTCATGAACTTATCCTTATATAAGCCTGCAATTCCTGAAAAAAGTATTTAAAAATTTTTAATGCCTTTGATTTCTCAGACTACACCAATACTTCTCAGAGAAACAAATTTCACATATATAATATCCTCTGTACTCAATCAATCAGCTAAAGATCAATACTTGTGCCAACTACCATCATTTCAGAGTGACAGCTTAAAGTCATTAACTCAGTTGGCTAAAGAAATGAAAAATATTCCAAAAAAATGCATGAGCCAATTACAAATTTCTCATCAGTCCTCTCTTCTAGAAGGAAAGAAAACAGCATTTCTAGATAAACAAAATGTCAAAGCAAAAATTCTAAAATCATCTTGCTAAAATATTGTGCTTTTTCCTTCAAATTTCAGTCCTACTATTGCACATACCTCTTGCAAATGAGGGCTCAATGCATAAATTCTGATCTTGTCAAAACCAACCATTCAGGAAAAAAGTGAAAAGGAATATCAAGGTAAATGTGCAAATAAAACTGGTTCTTAAAGCATCTTCAAAACCTAAGTCCTAAGACAAAGGAGTTATACCTTCTTGGCAGAAAACCAGCCAAGTAACTACGCCTGGTTTTCCCATTGGTCTTTAATAAGATCTTATTTAGCTAGCACATACACAAACTACAGACAGAGACCAAAGGCAGAAAAAGACTGCAAGCTAACAAAAATTACCACGTATTGAATTGAGTTTCCCAGTCTTCCGTTTTAACTATATTTCCTTTATAGGGGGCAATCATCAATTCAGGTAGAAAATAAGTTATTGACACACTTTTTCAAGTAACAGTCTGGTATCGTCAGCTTCAAAAAACAGGTGTGTAACTGTTTTAAGCTTCACGTATTAGAGAACCTAGCATTCGATCTGAGAGCTTGGCACTCGCCGCATGTTTAAGGCGTGCCGATGTATTTCTTGCATCTGTCTGATCCGGTCCTTCTGCCACATTAAGTTTTGAGGCATAGGATATCTCTGGGTGCCATGCAAGTACCGGTATGGGATTCTCACGTGGCAAGCAGTGGCTCTACAACGAGGTTGCGGCATGGGAGGAAGCAGCATCCACCTCTTCCTCTCAGCGCAGTAGCGGTAGGCTTCTTTCCGATACTGCTTGTCAATGTCATCACTGTTTTTCCAGCCTCCAATAATGAAAACGTCATCTTTGTAATAGCAAATGGCTGCTCCTTCGATGCTCAGGACTTCTGGAGGCAAGCTTTCCAGGATCTCATCGGAAACTTGGCTGGCGATTTTTCTGACTGCCTCTTCATTTTCCAAAGAATAACTCTTGGGACAACATGATGCCGTCTGATAAAAGTTGGAATTGACCACAGACATTTGGAAAAAGCAGTAATTGTCAATAAGTGGCAAAGATTTCACATCTTGCCACTGTCGAGTCTCTGTATCGTAGCAGGTGATTACGGCCTTTAATCCATCTTCAGTGTCCCGATCCACAGGAGTGCGGGCAGCGATATACACAAACCGGTCTTCAACGGCTAGTGCTTTGACATCTCGAAGAATCTTTGGTGCTGATTCTAAGTTGTGCCACTTATCAATCTCAGGATTATAAACAGTAACATCTTTAAAGCCAGGACTGAAGTTGCCATGTCCTCCAATGCTATAGAGCTTCCCTTTGACTTGTGTTAGCCCAAAAGAATGCTTCCTGGTCATCAGACTACAAACATGTTCCCATATATTAAAATTCGGGTTATATCTTTCCACAGTTTTAGCAAAACCTGGTTCCATTGATCCAGCAACATACACGTGGGATTCCGTTACTGCAACTGCATGGCCATCCAGGTGATTATGAATATGGGGCAGGTTTACCCATCTGTCCTCATCAACAAAATATCCCACACATTCACTTAAATAGTCCCCTCCTTCCGACACGCCTCCAATAACCATGATCACGTCCATGTTTTGTCCATAGCGAGGTAATAACGAGACATGAGAAGCAGGATGCTGGAATGTACCAGACTGTATGTTCTCAGCTCTCAGAGCATGCCTCTCCACTGCATCAGCCACTAACTTGACGCAAACTTCATTATTGGCCACCAGCCTCTCTGGTTTGACATGCCGAGTAAGATAGGTAGGTTTCATCTGGGACAATCTGAGCAATTTAAAAAGTTCTTCAAAGTATCTCTCCCTCTCTTCAGCATTTCTCTGAACCCACTTCAAAACTGTTTCAAAAAGAACCTCTTCGGAATCAACCGTAATTTCCAAGTCTGACAGCCAGTCTCGAATAAGATGGAAAGGTAAAGTATAAAATTCCTCATCCTGAATTACTTTGTGGAAATTTCTCCGTATCATATCGGCAGCTTTCAGAGCAAGTTGGCTCAGGGTATACATGTGAGCTAAGCTATGAATGGCCACACAATTAGAGAGATGAAGTTTCTTCTTGAGAAATTCTCCACAAAATTCTTTTAAGCGAATTAATAGGAACCTAAAATCAAGAAAAAGAAGGATTAATTTTCAAATGTGCATGTGGCTGCATTTTGAGAGCATCTGAATTATACAAATTGAAATGGTAAGCTTCAACTTACTTAATGCACAATATCTGAAAAAAAGCAAATCCTCCCAAATTAAAATGGATTATGCTGAAAAGTATGTTTAAAAGCTGTAACAGTCCTACACTTTATTTTCACTTTTTTTGTTGTTGTTAAGCCTCACCCGAGAATATTTTTCCGTTGATTTTTAGAGAGAGTGGAGAGACAGAGAGAGGGAGAGAGAGAGAGAGAAACACTGATGTGAGAGAAGCATAATGAGTGGTTGCCTTCTGCATGTGCCCCAACCAGGGCTGGAGATGGAGCCTGCAACCTAGGTATGTGTCCCTGACTGGACTCAAACTTGGGACCCTTCAGTCCGCAGGCTGACACTCTACCCACTGAGCCAAACCAGCTAGGACTATTTTCACTCTAATTTGCTCTTGCAAAGGCAAATCTCAATTCAAACTTGCCTATGCCATCCTACCCCAATCCCTTGCCAGTTATCAGCCTCTCTTCAAATGAGGCAGGGTCTCAGTGAAGAGACTTTATTAAGCACTGACTGCACGGTATAGGAACTGTGGATCCCAGGAGGTTGTTGACTCAAGCATCAGAAGTGGAGTTTTTGTGTCAGAGGTTTAAATCTCCTCTTCACCAGACCATTCTCCCAGGTCAACAAATGAAGGGGGGTAGGTGCTGGAGAGTGGGGGAGCTGCAGTCTCATTAAGGCAGGGGTGGCAAAGCAAACAACATCTGAAGAAGCCAGGAAATAAAACAATAAAAAACATGTACAGGACAGTCCAGGTTAAAAAAAGAAGAGCACTGGCAGGTGTGCTCAGTGGTTAGAGTGTTGGCCTGCACACTGAAGGGTCTTGGGCTGGATTCCCAGTCAAGGGCACATAACTGGGTTGCAGGATCGATCCCTGGCCCCAGTCAGGGCATGTGCGGGAGGCAACCAATCAATGAATCTGTTTCACATCCCTGTTTCTTTCTCTACTCCCCCCACCCCGCCCCCTCACCTCCTCTTCTAATGGAAAAAATATCCTTGGGTAAGGATTAACAAAATAAAAAAGAAAAGAAAATGGTTTGGAATGTAGCTGGTTAGAAATTGCCTACCTACCTAAATTTGTTTAAAGTTAAATTAAAAAAAACAAAAACAAAAAGCACACACACAAAACCACATTTCAGACAAATTCATAAATCTGGCAGCATTCAGCCCCAAGGGTAGCCAGTTTGAGACCATGGCGTTAGAAAGAGAAAGTCCCCAGAACTGAGAACCTCAACAATATACGGATGACTACATCAGTCCAGACCTATTTATTTATTTTTTAAAAAATGTATTTTATTGATTTTTTACAGAGAGGAAGGGAGAGAGATAGAGAGTTAGAAACATCGATGAGAGAGAAACATCGATCAGCTGCCTCCTGCACATCTCCCACTGGGGATGTGCCCGCAACCCAGGCACATGCCCTTGACCGGAATCGAACCCGGGACCCCTCAGTCCGCAGGCCGATGCTCTATCCACTGAGCCAAACCGGTTTCGGCAGTCCAGACCTATTTAATTCAGTAACCATTTATTATTATGATTATTACAACTATTGTGAAACCTGAGGGAGAGAAGGCTCTTGGTAGCTAACTGGGATCAAATTTTTTAAAAAAAGAGCATAGGGGCCTCTGCACCGAAGTACTTGCCTCAGAACCCAGCTATGTTTCTGCCATCTGAGCTAGCTAGCCCTTATAATAGAGGTGTTCCTGAAATTCAATTTCAACCAAAAGGACCAAAGCTTTCCCCATCCAACTGGAAGCTGTGCAGCTCCAACCAACCTGAGTGGCTCTATTCTGTCCAATCAGGACAGTGCATTTTGGACCAATCAAACTGTGAGGACTTGGAGTCCTCATTTGCATGACGACAATCAGGCACTAGGGGCAAGGAATTCTATCCAAATAAGCCAGCTCCCCTCTGGCTCTGACAGCGCACTTTCCTTTCCCACCAAAAACTGGGTGACCCTGGCTGAGCTGAACCACCAAAGATGTCTCAAAGGAGCAGAGTGGAGCAGCCCAGTGCAGGCCACAGCAGACTGGCACAGAACGCAGCAGCCCAGTGCAGGCCACAGCAGACCATGGAGGAGCAGAGCAGAGGAGAGCGGAGCATCTAGCTGGAGAGGGGCCCGGCCCCAGGGCTGCTTCACAGCCCTGCTGTCTCACAACTGAGCTGTTCTACAGCCCATGCTGTTTTCACAGCTGTGCTGTCTCACAATTAGCTGTTTTGCACTGAATAAAGTTTCCTTCTTCACCACACCCCAAATCGGGGGTTCCTGTTGCCGTTGAACTGGTGCCAATGACAATCGGACAACACTGTCGAACAATGATATAAAGATGAGTAGCTCCCTTCACCCTCTTCAGTGAACATACATCTTAGACATAAAACAAAGACAAGGTGCAGTAGTAAGAGTTCCAGTGGCTCTCAAACATGTCTGGGTGCCTAGATTCCCAGGCTCACCACCCTACCCAGCTCCTATTTTTGGCAGGCACTCCAGGTAATTCTCACACATATTCCCTGGGACAGTGTTTGGAACACTGCTCTATGAAAACAACAGCTAGCTGGCATATACTAGGCATGTGCCATGTGATGGGCACTGCAAGCTGCACTTCCTATTATTTATGTTCTAATGCCCTACAAGGTAGGCAGGATCAACAGAGTATATGGGGGGGGGGCGGTTAGGAGAATGATCCTCTCTCAGAGCTGTAAGATTAGATGTGATGGTTGCAGGATACTCAGAAGAGTGCCTAACACAAGGCAATTGCTCAGCGGCTGACAGATGGAGAAGTTAGTGCTTTAAGTAAACTGCCTGGGGTGTTTTCTCCTCCTTATCCCCAACTCCCCAATAAAGCTGGGACAAATCTGAAGAACACAAGCTCACCTGACAAAAGCAAACACAGCATGAGTGAGTGCAATCACCCTTCCCCCATCTCAGATCTATAACTGCCCCACCCTGTTCCACTCCATTCTCTATTGGATGACCTAGCCTCACACTTTAAGAATAAAGAGAAGCCATCAGGCAGAAACTTCATCCTCCCACCACTCACACTGGCTACAGCCGTACTCTATACTATGCTCTCCCAGTCCAACTTTTCCATTAAAAAAAAAATCTTTTTTTTAAATTGATTTCAGAGAGGAAGGGAGAGGGAGAGAGAGATAGAAACATCAATGATGAGAGAATCATTGATCAGCTGCCTCCTGCACAGTCCACTGAGCCCACAACCCGGGCATGTGCCCTGACTGGGAAATGGAACCTTGAACTCCTGGTTCATAGGTCGATGCTCAACCAGCCAGGCCAACTTTTCCATTTTTAATATGAATTCTATCCGCTTCTTGGTTTCAAAGACTTTGCTCCTGAAATTATTCCCCTGTCCTGTAACATTAATCTCTCCTTTTCTACTCTGTTATTGTCAAATTCAAAGATCACTTGCGGTTGACAGAGCTGACATGATTGGCACCCTTCTTTCTAGTCTTCTCTGCTGGTTCCTCTTTAACGTTCTGAAGAATCCCAGGACGCAGTCCTGCCCCTTCACTTTTCTATCTACACTCTCTTCCTAAGTAATTCCATCCAGTCTTCTAGCTTCAATTATCATCTGTATGCTTATTTCCTCCCAATCTCTAGCTCCCAATGCGCTGATACCCACCTGCCTACTCAGACTTCTCCTGGACCCAAACCAAACTCCTGATCTGCCTCCCAACCTTGCTTTCCTGCAGCCTTCCACGTTAATAAATAACAACTCCATCTATCCAATTGCTTGAGTCCAGAAGCTAGCATTCTCTCTCTCACACCCCACATCAAATCCATAAGCAAATTCATCTCCTCTATCTTCAAAATAGACCTAGAATTGAAGCACTTATTACCTTTACTTCTCCCTCCTCAATCCAAGTCTCTACCACCATGGCAACAACCTCTGCTTCTGCCCTTGCTGCCCCTCCTTTTCTAACACAGCAGAATTCTTCAAATCAGAATGCGTCATTCCTCGGCCTCAAACCTTCACATCTCATTCAGAGTAAGAGTCCAGGTCCTTCCACAGCCCAACAAGGCCCTACGGGACTTGGATCCGTTCCCATCACCACCCAGAGGCCTTTCCTGCCCCTCTCATTCGGCATCTCTCTGATCCAGCCACAATGGCCTCCTGCTATTCTTTACCATCCAGATAAGCTCCACTTCGGGCCTTCACACCAACACTGATTCATCTCACCTCCTTCAGTTCTTTGCAAAATGTCTTCTTTGTGAGGGATTCTTTATTCGATTTAAAAAATAGCTTCTCTCCATCAGCCCTTTCTGTATGTCCCCACCACGTTTTATTTTCCATCATAACTATAACCATCACCCAACACGCTATCTATTTCACGTATCTGTTGTCCATCTACCAATGTGAGTGCAATGACGAAGGGACTTTTGTCCGTTTTGTTCACCGCTGAATTCCCAGCACCTTTAGAACCCAGTGTCTGAACGGGTGCATAATAGGTTCTCAATAGGTAGTTGTTAAAATAACGTATCTGTAACATAATCCTGCCCCAACAGGCTCCTCCCAGCTCTATAAATGGCTTTCGTTCACCTGCCCCCTAACCAGTCTCCGAGCATCCATTCCTGCCCTCCACAATCCCCTTTCCACCGCTGCAGAATCATCTTTTAAAATACTTAAATCGGATAATTTACTTACCCAGCTTCCCATCACCCAGTAAAATGCAAACTCCTTATTCCAACGCATTTCCCACACCCCATCATATCCATCATATCGTCTCCCCTTCACCCACCATATCCAGCCCCACTGGGTTTTTCTTTTCCAGTTCTTCTCTGAGCCAAACTGGATCTTGCCTGAGGGCCTCTGCGTCACCCGCCAGGAAGCCCCCATCTTTGCTGTTTAAGGGTCGGTTTAAATGTCATCTCCCGAGAAAGGTCTTTCCTCTACCCCATCACAATCCTTCCACACACACACCCCCTCTCATCCCTTTTTAATGTCAATACGGCACTTACAACAAGCGGGCTTTCCTTCGGATTGCCTTTGTTCCTCCACCGGGGATCTGAACTCCCTACGGCAGGTGGCCCTGGCCGGACGGGCAGGCGGCATCCTCAGTGGCCAGC